TATTTTATTAGTGTTCACCAGTTTATTGAACGAACGGCTGAACGCCGCACAGTGGGACAGATTAAAAAAAAAGTGGGATATGACCATTTGCGACGTAACTATTGAGTATCCCCCAAGGCTCTCATTTGGGACCTCTCCTTTTTATTCTATACGTAAACGACATTTCTTTCATTCTCAAAAAGCTTAAATTGCTTATTTATGCCGACGACATGAAGCTCTTTTTGGAAATAAGAAATGAAGAAGACATCAATATATGTATGTATTCCGGAATGAAATACACATATTCTACATATGGTGCAAAAAAAGTCTACTACAATTGAATGTAAAAAAATGTAACCTAATATCATTTAGCAGGAAAAGAACAACTTCAAATATTTCAATTGCACTAGGAAATCAAAATGTAGAAAAATGTGAAAGAGTTAGGGATTTAGGAATTATCTTAGACTCTAAACTTACTTTCATAGACCATTACAACACAATTATTCACAGGGCAAATAACATGCTAGGCTTTATCAAGCGCTTTTTCGATAACTTTCAGGACCCATACACAATTAAAACAATATATATTGCCTATGTGAGGTCAATACTGGAATATTGCAGCATTGTATGGTCTCCTTTTTCAATCACGCACGAAGAAAGATTAGAATCCGTACAAAAAGAATTTCTATTATACGCTCTTCGTAAATTAGGTTGGACATCATTTCCTCTTCCATCCTATGAAGCACGCTGCATGCTCATAAACATACAAACATTAAAAGAGCGTTGTGAATATGCAATGGTTTTATTTGTAAACGATATCGTTTCGCAGCGCATTGACTTAACACAACTTTTTATCAAAATTAAATTTCCATGCACCTACTCGGCAACTCCGAAATCTAAATTTGTTTGCCTTAAAACAACATCGCACAAATTATGCAAAATATGGGCCATTAAACCGCATGATGGCCTCTTACAATCAATACTGCGAAACCATAGACTTTACAATGTCTCGGCATAAACTAAAACAATATTTTTACTCCATAGGGCATTATAACTCATAAAAAATAGGAAAGCTGACACTGCTTAATTTTTATTGAAGAAAAAAAATATACTTTTAACCTTTTGTCCAAAGCTGACGAAATAAATAAATAAATTTAAGAAAACAAAACTGTATTCTAATATGTACTAGTCTACGTTGGTTGACGAAATAAATAAATAAATATAGCATTTCGACGCTTTCGAGAATGTTTCTTCATTTTTTGAGTACTCTATTTGAGTGTTGAAATTTTTTATTAAGGGGGGTATACACTCAGATAAAAAATAACTGTTTTATGTTGCGTTAAAACTGATGAACATCTATGAAAAATTAATAGATGAAGTCATTTTAGGAAATTTTGTCAAAGACGACAATTTTCTATCGCTCAAATTGAGTGCGCTCTAAAAATGCACATTTTTATTCAATGAAGCAAATCGAAATCTCTTCGTTTAAAGGATTTACATCCGTTTTTATAATTTCTTAACACTATCTTTAAGCAGGTGTATCTGGTTCGTTGGCAGGTAGTAGTAGCTAAACTCAACGTTATTTCGTTCAGCATCTTATACCCTACTGTTACATATACAATTCATAAGGGGATCCAGATGGATGCCTAATGAATTTCCTAATAAAGTACCTCAATGTTTTGTTACGTTTTGCTGTTTTCATGACCATTTTCGCAAGTATGTACAGTAGGATGGGCTGCAGCTTGGACAAAGTTGTTTTGTATAATATTTTCAATCTAAGTCCGAGTTTTGGTGAAATTTAAGCAATATTTGGATTTTTGGTAAGCAAATGAATAGGATCGCTCGGTTTCTCATACAAAATTTAAAACTATCCCGCAAATCGGGATTATAACCAAATTCGTTCAAATGTTGCCCAGTTCTTTGGGACCTGAATAAGCATTGAAAGAGCAGCGGGGAACCAACCCTTATGTAAATAGTTGCAAAAATGGTCATGAAAACAGCAAAACGTAACAAAACATTGAGGTAATTTATTAGAAAATTTTGGGGTAATTGAAAAATGTTACATCATAACAGCAAATTTTGATTTCAATTTGATCTCCAACCTTTTTCGGGTTTCTACCTAATATCATTTAAGGAGCTACTTTTCGGACATCAATCAATCAACGCCACCTTTATTTTTCTATTATTTTTATTATATATTTAGTTTCTTATAAATTCCAGCCATTAGTTTACACAATTATATTATTATATTATTTATAATTATTTTTACTCATTTTTTTTTCATTCATTATAATTATATTATTCTGTTCTTCCACATTTCTCATTTTTCTCCTCCTGTTGTGTGTTTCTTTTTTTCTTCCTCTTTTTGTGTTTCCTTTTTTTGTTTAAATATAATTAAAAACATAAATATATATTTATTTTGTATTTTTTTTTTCCATATCATAGATTATTTTTAATGTTGTTTATTATTATATTAAGAAAGGACTTTCTGAACTTGTTTTTTCTTCTCTTTTCTCGTGTTTGCTTTCTCAATGTTTTGTTTCATTTCGCTTGCTTTTCGCTTTCTTCTCCCTTTTTGCTGATGTAAAGATGCTGTTTTAGAAAATTATTTCACGTTTTTCATATTGGTTTTTTTGTTTTGTTTTTGCTTCACTACGTTTGTAGGTGTAGTTGGTTTGCTTCATGGTCGCTCACACACGCACACATTTGGTTCCCCCACTCATTGTTGCTGTTCATTTTCGATCGAGTACGAATCGATTCAATCGATACTTTTGGAACTCGACATGCGAGAAAAAGTTCCTTCCGCTCACACACATTGTGTCCGAGGAGGATGACGGGAATTCCGATTGAACGAGATGCGAGCCGCTTGAGATGTATGTGGTGGTTCCGCGTGTTTGTTACAAATTATGACAAAACATTCACGGAAAACGGTAAACACATCCAGCAAAATTCGGTTGGTTTGTTCTAACATTCTCACACAGTTTGGTGTGTGTTTGTGTAGCGAAAAGATCGGCGGCGATTTCGCAATCGGAATTCTTCATCCGAAGATGGGCGATTTGTGACCTTGGACGGGTGTGAAGATCCAAGAGAAGGAGAAGAGTGCGAAGGGAGGGGGCGATATTAAATTTCACGATTTCAGCATTGGCTCATCAGAAACGTGGAATTTAAGGTCTCGCTAGGCTTGAAAGATTGAATTGATTTTGAGAGAAATAGTGAAGTATGAAGATGTGTTTTTTTTGCTCGTAGAAAGACACAAATCTACAGTTTGGGCGGCGGAAGGATCTTTATCAGATCATTACGAATTTCAAAACGATGCTTCAAATTAGTTTTGCAGTTTGCATTTTTCTGCAGTTCATGTGTGTGTGTGTGTGCGAGTTTGGTTTCTGATTTGATTTTAGAGGTTGAATCACTAGACTTCTTTGTTTTGTTTTCGTCACGTTTCGATTTTGAGAATGTCCTTCAGCGAATACGCTTCATTTTTTTTTTATTTCGTCACAATCGTAGCAAGCCCCGAGGAGGGGCTGTTTGTTGTTACTCGTCTCGTCGGTGTGGTAGAAGAGCAAGGCCTGCTTCGGTTTCGACTCCGCCGTACAGTAATCAAATGGGCGATCTGATCACCGAGCAACGGAGCGGAACGGAGGGGGGGCCGCCTCTCAGTGGTGCACAAAGTCGGTAATGGATTTCTTTGATTTTTTTTTTCGTGTGGAATCAACTCACACAGATGGTTTTGCAAAATCCTGTGATGTTGTTTGTTGTTTTGCGAGATATATGTAGGTTTTACAAACTTTCATTTTGATTAGTGTTTTCACGTCACACAGATTCGTGTTTATCAAAACTGTCCGTCAGCGTCAGTTTTGGTTCCCGGTGCCCCGGTGCAGTACCGTGTTAATGTTGTGTGAAACATGATTTTCTGCTTTATTTTTTTTTCTCAAATATTCAATATTATTAGTAATAGCAAGGAGAGATTTTTGTTTCTTTGCGGGTAAATGACTTTTTTTTTGTGTTATCATGTTTTGTTAAGATCTTACTGATTCTTAATAAAATCTACTTCATTTCAATAAACGCGTTAGAGAGGAGATTTCACTTTTCAATTAAAAAAATGGCACACAATACTAAAAAGATGCTGTCAACGTTTCTCCGTCGTGTTTGTTTTTGTAATGCATGGTGTATCGACATTGTAATAAAAAGATTTTCTCCGTAATTTCACTTAAATACCACGGGAAATAGAAAGGGGAATACACGATCGATGATGACAACGATGAGGCAATGAGGGGTGATGAGCAAAATGCAACGACGAGAAAGGCGCTATAGGAATATATGTGTATTATGATTGCACACGAATGAGTGTAAAGGAAAACCGAAAATTGAGAAAATGGCGTCGTGCGTGGCGTCTCACTGGGCATGGGCGACGCACTTCAAAAAATCGAATGGAAAGACGTCGAGATAGGTATAACCGAAAAAAGAACATACAATGACAAGGAATGACGAGAGTGGGCATCGTGCAAAATCCGTCACGATGATTTTGTTCTAGTTGTTTTTTTCATCTTGGCACGAACTGTTTTCAGTTTTCAATTTAAAGAGTTTTCAGATTCTCTTTCCCTTCGGGAAAAGTCCCAGTTAGGTTTCCTAACCTCAACTGATTTTGTTCCGTTTTTGGAAAAGGAGACAAGTTTGTGCAATGTATCAAAATCATTAATTTTTTTTCGGTTTCGGTCGAAGGGAAAAGCTTTAAAAACATATCCGGCTGCTCTTTTCGCGTGGAAGAACGTAACAAAAGTGGTAGAATGGTAACCGTAAAATGTTGCTTGCTACAATTTTTTCACGGTTTTGCTGTTTCTTTGTTTGCGTTTTCGGACCAATCAAAATTGCTTTATCTAACTATCTAAAGCCTATGTTGTGTGTGTGTGTGTGTGTGTGTGTGTGTGTGTGTGTGTGTGTGTGTGTGTGTGTGTGTGTGTGTGTTTTGTTTTTCATCATCATTAATAATTTTTGTTTACGTACTGCGGAAAGGATTTTTCATCGTGTGTGTTTGTGTGTCATACAAAATAGAGCAAAATTTCTGTTTTTTGCATTACTTGTTTTTTTTAGCTTGATTCGTTGCTCTATGACTTCCCTATAAATATTTTTGTTTTTTTTTTTCATTGAAGAAGCAAACGTCGGTCGAAATTTGCCATTGTTTTTGTTTTCATCTTAGTGACTATTTTCCTTCCATGTTGAGTGGTTAAACGCTTTCTATTCGCTCTCTGTGTGAGTGTGTAGTTGTGTGCTTGGTGGTGTGGGACAGTATGGTCCAGCACGCCACGAATGTTTACAGTACTCTCGCTACTTGAATGTATTGGTGACCGTCCCGTACTGGCTGAGTGCGTTTTGCTTTCTGTGTGAATACTTCTCTCTTAACTTTTAAACTTGCGTACATGTGTGCGTTTAAGTGAGCGTGAATGAATGAATGTGTGAGTGTATTTCATTTATGGCTTCTTCATCTCTTCATTGCCCGTAGGAGTGTGTATTTTTATGTGTATGTATGTATGTGAAATGAAGCGCAATTTGGCGGCAGTAAAAACAGCGCAAATTACACAGATAAAGAACGGAAAAGTATATGCTGCGATCATCAATGCTCTCGCACGTGTGCCGATTTGGCTTGTTTTCTGCCAGTAATTTCATAAAATTTCTTCAGGATCACTAAGAAATATTTACATGTGTGTATGTGTTTCTTTGCCTTTCGGGATTTGCTTTGCGCTATTTTTTGCATCCACAATTGGATCGTTTCCGCATGCGAGAAAACGACGTATAAATTGTTTAATTTCAATTTCTTTTGTTATCATTAAATTTAGGTATAAAATTATGAATAATATTACACATTAAAATGGTTTTCTGTGCTTTTTCTTACCGTTTGCGAAACAAAATGAGCGTGTTGTCGTATGTTTTGCTTCCATTTCGCTTTATGTGGTTTTGTTTTTTTTCTCACATGCTTCCTATGCATTTGGTAGTACGAATTTGACTGATTTTTCCCCTCAACTTGCGCATGTGTATGTGTGTATTGTTCCAGCTGAAAATAGCATCGATCGATTCTCGGCGGACACACATCGAGCGAAGGAAAGTGGATAATTTAAATAGAAAATAACCTTAAAAACACAACAACAAATTTACATACACTAAATTATGCTCGTCGTAACAAAAATGAAAGGAAAATTTAAAAAGAACTAAAAGAACATTTCAGTAGAAAACAGTTCCTACACATACTGTTGTACATTCAGTAAGTGTGTTCGTGTGGGCATGTATGTGTTAATTTCACATCTGCATTTCGCATTTTGATTCCTACTTGGTACACCCTGCAAGCTCGCAAATCTAACCTTGGCTGCTAGTTTTTTTTTTACTCTCTCTTTCTCTCATCATATTTGGGAAGAAGGACAGTATTACTAAACCAATGAACATTGTTAAAAAATGTTAGCGCTTACTACAAGTGTATAAATGATTATTTACTTTATATCTCACAGTCACAGTATTTTCACGTAAAAATTACAACTAAATTTTGGGACCGCGCGGGCACTTCCTATTAGGCGCATTACCTGGCTATCGATTCAATTCGATTCGCACTGATCAACTCTGATGCCCCGCTGCTTTAAATTCGAATGATGACAATTTTTACATTAAACCGCAAAAAATACGCATATATGCAAAATTAGTTTAATGTGATTCGTTTTAACCTATAAGCAGTGCTGCCATCAATGTTTTTGGATGAAACCAGTTAGACATAGATGGCAGCACTTATCATGGGATGAAGCGCACCGAACACGTCCGTTGAAAGTAACTCAAAATCGAGTCGAATGACACTCATTCTCGTAAATTTAGCTTACTCAACACTGAATTGAAGGGATCGGAAGGAAAGGAGTGCAAGTGACAAACAGAAACCGTCACTTTAATAAGATAATACGATCGGTACACACTTATTAATACTCTCATTTCCTTCCTAAAGTGTCTATGTATTTTATGGGACAGCCCCCAATGTGAATGGCGAAAACTGCAATTTTCGTTCTTTTTCTAGGTTTTCGCTTGCTCCCCTTTACTTCTAATCCCCCTAATTTAAATAAAACTCATACTTGATGGAGCTAATCTTCTTTTTAAATGAGTGAAATCCTACTATTTTTTTAGTTATTTTCAAAGGCCGTTCAATCCGCTAATTCTGTACTTACTTCATGCGGCTTAGTATACAAGGAAACATTCCCGGAAATGTAAGAAGCGGATAACAGACTAAGTCGAGTTTTGCAGTAGTTCGTTTGAAAAGAAATACTATCAAATGCACACAAAGCAACGGGTAAGTGAGCTGATCGGTGTGCAGGTAAAGACCCCGAGGGAAGCTCCAGTATTAGAAAAAGAAAAAAACAAAATCGACTTCTTCTTAATACACTTAAAAATGATAGTCAGTGTGCAGAAAAATAAGTCTAAAAATTGCTGAATAAATAGATTGACTTTTTATATTTCCTTATCTTTTTCTTTAATGTATATGTATAAATATATAAACATTCATCCTTTTTTTGTTTAATGCAATTTTGTGTACCTAGTTATGCGTGTATGCGTGGGTGTACGGATTGTTTTATTTTTTTTCCAGCGCATTGTATGCAGCTTGTGTAGTTTTTAAAAAAGTGCTAAATTATCGCCGTATATGTGTTATATGCGCGTGTCTATGTATGTGTGTGTTTGTGTGGGAGGGTGTTGTTCAATTGATTTATCCGGTGGCTATAAGAGAATAAGATCTAACAAAAATCTGGGAACATAATAAAACAAACAAAAATATTAAAAAAAAAACAATGCGTACGATTTTCAATAAACTAATAATTTAATGTAAAAACTAAATTAAATAAATATCATCTAAACCGCTCGTAATAACAGAAGACTGTACAAACTCAAACACTCGTCAACTAAAAGTAGTAAACCGAGAAGGAGATTATTAACAACAACAAAAATTAAAACGATTTCCGCGAATCAAAGGAGAGGACAGAAAACGGGAAACCTAACGCATTCGTTTGCCTTTACATCATAATTTGTTTTGCATTTTTTTTTTATACTTGTTTATACTTTCTCCTACCTTCTGTTGGTTAGTTTTCCTTTTTTTTCTTGTTTATTGGTACATATTCCTATTCTTTAAACCCTAACAATTAAGAAATGCACATAAAATAAAAGAAGTTTTACTCTTTTCCTTTGCTTTGTTCCGATCTCTCGCAGTTAGCCCAGCAGTAAAACCAAGAAGCAAAACTACCCAATTCTCTGTTATAAAGTTGTTCCGTTTGAACGATAAAAACGACTTCGAGTTCTTCAAAGCAACTGCGCACCCGAGCAATTCCCATTCTGACTTTCCGAAAAGAACCGAATCAAACACCTCCGCGAGGGAGGGGGAGCCATACCAATTAGTAGTTGTGTGAAAAACTAAACTATGCATAATGCATTCGATTCGCTTCCTTCGCGCGTCGCCACACGGAGAAACAATGGCAAGTAGTGGCTTAATCTCGTTTCGGCTCGGTCCCCCGGCCGATTGATTCGCTCCGGAAAGAAACAACGAAAATCGCTTACAATACTACCCATTCGTTTTGCTTGTTTTTTTTTTTAGCTCGCGCACAATAACCTATTGGTTTACAAATAAGTAGGTATAAATGTATGTGTGATTGGTACCGTTACGTTTCAACTTTAAATTGTAAATCTACACGTGTTTTTGTGTGCGAATGAACTTCGATTATTTTTTGTGGTAGCCTTGTTCTAACGTGTATCGTTTCTATTGTTCTTGTTTTTATGGGTTTTATTTTTTAAATTTTTTTTCGCACAGTTACAGTAGTATTAGTGCCCTTTCTCTCTGCCTCTTACCCATTGCTGCGATGGCAACGTTTTACCTCTCGCGGTGATTCTGTTGACGGCGACGATTCGACAACTAGTACTTTGGCAACAAAGATCCCAGCAACACAATAGCTGAAGTCATTGTGGGGATGTCCATGGCGATGGTGGCGGTGGTGATGGTAATGATGGTAAACATTGCTACTGTCTTTATTGTTGATGTTGATGTTGTTGCTTCTAATGCTACTGCTACTACTACCACTACTATTACTACTGCTGCTGCTGCTGCTTCTGTTGCGCATGCGATGGCGACGCGTGTGGCAACTCAACGTACTAGGAAAAGAGTAGAGGCGACATTTCGGTAACGGCCACGACGGCAACGACGGCGACCATGACGAAGACGACGTTGTAGTTCAAACCAAATTGTACTCCTTTAGATTAGACTGCAGTATCGTATCCTTTACGGCAGCGAACACAAACCTAATGTTTTCGGTATCTGTTTTGTGGGCGTGGTTGGAGTTTCATTTCGCGAGCCGGAGGAAAATTGTGATATTTTGTAATTTGGTGGGAAGAAAAATTGGGAGAATTGTTTTTTTAGGTTTACCGTAAAAAATTAAATGGTATGCATTTACCAGTAAAATTCAATAAAGTATCGACTGTTTAAACAAATTAAACTAAACTTTCAATTGATAATACGAATTAGAGCAGTGAGTTTGAGTCAAAATTTAACATTTCGTATTGATACTGTATTTATGCTTTACTGGTAAAAGAGTAGTATGTATGATTTTGTGATAGAAGATAGATGATACATGCATAATGGTTGCCGTTAGTAAATGGTGAGGCGTCATCCACAACTTATATAAGGGATTAGGGAGATAGGGGGGGGGGTCGCCACTTTACTGACATAAATCTTTAAAAAAATTATAGAATCCCAAAAATAGTACAGTCCCAATGACGCGTTCATCTAGATAAAATTGATTAATAGTAGATTTTTAGCGATGGGCCCAATCTTAGACCCATAGGCCAACATTAGAGCCATTTCCCCTATCATATGAAATCACTTTTAGAAGCAACTGTTTTGGTAAAAAAAAATCAATCATTCACAAGACTGAAAAAATATATATTTTTTTCCTTGATTTATTTTCCGTCGATCTTGTTTTTCCGTGCTCCCACACCTGGACCATACCTAACGACCCATCAACTCATGAACCGGGGACCAAAAGCTTTACTTCCCTTCCGAAGGAAGGCGTGAACAGAGATGTTATGCCTCAGAACATCCCGGCAGCGCCGACTGGGATTAAACCCAGGCCTGCGGGGGTGAGAGGAAATCACGCTTACCACTACACCGCCGGCGCCGCTAAAAAAAGTACTTCTTAAATTTAATTTATTCTACACAAAATAATGGATTTTTTAAATCTTTTCATGCTAAAATTCATCATTGTTGACCCTTCATAAAGCCTCAAAAGAACGGAATATTCTTACCGGCTTTTACAAGGGCGCTCATACCACTCCGATAGAGTGCTCATTTTACCCCAACGGCTTTATTTCGGTTACAAAACGAGCCGACAGCGCATCTGTTACAGTTAGCGCTGTAAACGTAGCTCATCTTATACCAAGGTAGATTCGTTCTTTTTGTCCGCTAACGAGTGTGATTATGATGTCATTGTATTGGCGGAGACATGGCTCGATGACCGTTTATATAGTGCCTTTTCGGTTTATCACACAGACCGTAATGCCTTTAACAGTGCAAAAACCAGTGGGGGAGGTGTCCTAATCGCTGTTTCATCTCGTTGGAACAGTTATATCGGTCCGACAGCTGTTTCCGATGCTCTAGAACAGCTGTGAGTTAGAATCACTACGCTAAGTCGAGTTATTAGTGTAGGTGTGATCTATTTACCTCCTGACCGCCGCAACGATGTCACTAGTATTCAGTACCATGTGAACTGTATCGGTGCTATTGTTTCCAATTTGGAATTCAATTACTATGCTCCGCTCGGAGATTATAACCAACCTTTGATCCGGTGGAGTAAGTCGTACGATGGGTCTTTCCAGGTTGAGCCTGAATCGGTTCTATCGGCTGCTAGTTCAACGCTTATCGACGGTTTCGCTTTACTTGGCCTCACGCAGATCAATGGTGTATCGAATAGGAGCGCTCACTTTCTAGACCTTGTGCTGTCTAACGAAGCTGCAACTGCAGCCATAAAATCTTTCTTGATGCACACTGCTTTAGACGTCCTGATGAACCTCCCAGCACCAATCCTTTTTGAGGATTGTTCTGAAAATAATCGTACACTGGATTTCCGTCGAGCTGACTATGTTGCGATTAGTGCTGCTATTTCCGGTATCGACTGGCAACCATTAGAATTAGCTGGATGTGTTGAAGATGCCGTTGAATATTTCAATAAAATAATTTGGGATATCATGGCTGAATTTGTACCTATTGCCCGCCCGCACCAAAGCCACCGTGGTCTAACGGTCACTTGCGTCGGCTGAAGATACTGCCAAAATTGTTCGCACATTAGGAGCAGGTTTTCAACCGCACAAGTAACAGTCCGCATCGTGCTCTCTTGCCGTGCGGATCTATTTGCTTTTTGCTGAAGGACGTGTTACTACTACCTAAAGCTACAACAAATTTAAACATCACTTTTCAGTGCTCAACCTGTAAAAATTTTCTACCTTGTTCAACTCTTATTCCTCTTCGATCCTTGTTTGGACCCTACCCGAGGTAATCCTTCTTGGATATCGATTTGGAAAATTCCTCTTCGATCCTTCTGATTCTTATAGTAATCTGCTTGGAAGTCGATTTGGATAAAAATTTACTGCCGCCATGGCGCCTAAACGCAAAAGAAAGGGGCAAACTCTTGACCCCCCTTCTGATGAAATTAATTTGAGTAATCAATTTGATTTGCTCACGGATGATGAGAATCATCCATCATAAAAGAAAAATTCTAGTAAACTTTCCCGGCTTAATGCCAAGAAGGAAAAGATTCCCCCTATTGTGATAACCACTTCCGATTTCCATGCTCTCCGCATGGAACTTTTGAATTTCGTGAAAGTTAAGTTTTCACTACAAATTGAACGTCGGGGTGAATGCCGTGTATTGGCTGAAACCTTGGACGGATTTAAATGTCTTCTCAAGTATTTTACTGAGAAGCATCACAATTTTTTTACTTACGACACCAAAATTGAACGTGTGTTCAAGGTTGTCATGAAAGGACTGCCCAGTGGTGAATGCCTGGATCAGATCAAAGATGAACTGGCAAAATTACTTGGAGTTGTGCCACTCCAAGTAATCAAAACTATGACTATATGTTTTTAGTATTACTTCTACGTGAAGTCAACGATTTACATAGTTGAAGATGCTAATTTCAAATAACAGACTGTAGTGGTAATTTTTATACGATAGATGGAGTAGATGAAAGCATAGAGTTGATAGTTCCGTTAGAGTACGGCAGTGTGAAGATTGTATATAGATATTAGAATAGCGAACTAGGACAACTTTTAAGGAAGGTACAAATCGGTTTTTTCATCTCTCTTTACCAAACTCCCCCTTTGGAGAGGGATGGTGAGGGGTGTGTCGCCCCGCCACCACTGGCAAAAAGAGATGAAAACCGACCCGTTCAAGTACTAACTGTGTGTTTGAAACAGTTCTACCGATTTTTACCGCACTTCAATTGTTATTTGAAGGAAGGCATCCAGTCGTAGGTTTGGAAATTGCAACTATTGTTTACCCCTAGCATCTTCAACTATGTAAATCGTTGACTTCACGTAGAAGTAATACTAAAAACATATAGTCAAAGTACATAACTCTGGATGGGAGCATACCATCAATTACTGTCAATGGTCGAAAGGTACAGTAGCAACACCTACCCCACCCGTGTCCCCTCGAGATCGTCAAGTCGACGATGACAGGAGCACATATCGTGGTAGGGGTAAACAATAGTTGCAATTTCCAAACCTACGACTGGATGCCTTCCTTCAAATAACAATTGAAGTGCGGTAAAAATGTTTGATGCTATTCAAACTGGAGTAAAATTTGCAAATAATATTGTCATGACTTTAAAATTCAGTACTGGATTTTAAAGCATTAAACATTTTAAATTGGAATGCTCGATCTCTTAAAGATAATGAAGACGAGCTATTTAACTTTTTGAGAGTTCATAACGTGCATATTGCCGTTATAACTGAAACGTTCCTTAAACCTGACCATAAGGTTAAGAAGGTCATCCCACTGCGACCTAGCAAGAAGTACAGTCGACTTGTTTCGCGCTACGGTATTTCGGAAGTTTTCTCGGTATTCGGTTGGTTTAAATTATCAGTTTTTTCTCGCTTAGTGATTACTGGCATAGTACCCGGCTAAACAATTATCTGAAAGTGAGTTTTTCTGAGAAGAAAGTGGTTTTCGGCGCCATCGGAAAGAAAATTGTTCACTTGCAATTGGATATTCGCAAACCAATTTGCGCTTCATCGGTGCGTGATCACGCATACCTGCACACAGATCATCGTCATCGAGTGTCAGCATCTGCCTCCGCATTTATACCGGTCATCCATCATCGTGTGTCCAGCAGAGTGCCGAACCTCATACAAGCACACCACTACAAAGATCGCCCGCACACGCGCATCGAAGGTCACCCACGCTGCGCGTCGCTCCGCTGCTGCTGTGTAATCACTCGGTGGTAGTAGTATAGCAGATAAGTTTTTTTCCTGTTTCTTTCTCTCGCCCATCAGTTAAATTTAATTTTGTGTTTCTGTGTTTGTAATTTTTTTCTGTTTATTGTGTCTGTGTGGTTTTAAGCATCGTTTCAGTGGTAGAGCGTTTACCGCTCCCACTAGTACGGCAAAATGGACGTCTCGTCAGAAGACGATATGGACATTTTGTCGGAAGATGACACCAGTTTGCCACTCGATGGCAAGAAAAGACGAAAACGTCCTGTCATTCATGGTTCGTCTCAGAAAAGCCCCCGATCGCGAGCCTATCCAGATGACTCGACTGGGCCATGGGTTGTCTACTTTCAGCCCAAAAACAAACCTTTGAACTTGATGCAAATTTCCACTGATCTGACGAAGCGATACTCGGCCGTGACCGAAATCACGAAGGTTAGGCATAATAAACTTCGTGTTGTCGTTTCTAACCTGAAGCAGGCTAACGAGATTGCTGCCTCCCAGCTCTTTACGATTGAGTACAGGGTTTACATACCAGCTCGTGATGTGGAGATCGAAGGTGTTGTCACCGAAGCGAGTCTGACCCCCGAGATCTTGGAGAAGCAGGCGGTTGGCCGTTTCAAGAACCCCTTGCTCCCCCCGGTGAAGATACTGGATGTCCAAAAACTGGGCTCAGTATCTGTCAGCGAGGGTAAAAAGAGTTTTACCCCCACAGACTCGTTCCGTGTGACCTTTTCTGGTTCAGCCCTTCCTCACTATATCGAGCTGGGAAAACTTCGACTACCTGTGCGCTTGTTCGTTCCCCGGGTCATGAACTGCCAAAACTGTAAGCAG